TATATATATATATATATATATATATATATATATAATATATTTAAGATGGAGGGAAAAGACGAAGGCTAATGCGTTTTATGAAAAACGTGACTAAAAATTTCTAAAAAGTAAGATATGAATAATCTTAAGGAAAGTCCGGTCATCAAGGTTTTTAAGTGCAAACTAACGACACGATGATCGTTTAGAAGAACTTTCGAGAAGATATGAGGCAAGCTCTTTTTTTTTGGATTTTAGTAATTTCATAATAATTGGCCAAGAATTGCCAATATAAAGTGTTGAAAATATGAAAGGAATAGTTTTATAATAAAATATCATTAAATACCAGAAATTGGCTTGATTTTATACTTGAAATAAGAAAAAAAAAAAAAATAAATAAATAAACGAATAAAGCAAGAAATCGGTAACACGAAATAACGATCAATCGTTGAAAATATTTTTAATTGCAAAAAGTAAAATTACGAAATGAATTACTCGTAAAAAACACGTTTTATTTATTTTTTTTTTTCCGAGCAATTTGTTCGCGATTTCAACATTATTTCGACGTTGTTAACGATATTTTAATGCTTTATTAGGGGCAATCGTAAGCTTTATAAAAACCACGAGGGAACGAAATAATTATCAATAGATCTGTGCATTCGAGATGAGACAAGTGACATAATGTATCTTGTGAAAAGTATCTTGACATCTTCCTTTTGTTTCTTCGAATACATGATTCACGTCTAAACATGTCAAAATATTAATTACTTTGTTCAAGAAAGAATATATATATATATACAATACTTCATAACGTATTATTAAATAATTATTTAATTTTCTTCACAAGTTGAAATATTATGACATAGAACTTTCAATGTATATTAATCAAATACAATTATCTCACATAGTACATAACGTTGATGGGATACTTATGATGATTCAGAGAACGTTATGTCATTGAAATTTCTCGGAAGTTGGCCTTATTCTTTTCATAATAGTCGAATAATTTTGGCTGGAAAATGATACATAGACAAACGAATGGAAGAATAAAATCCCATGTGTTTGGAATAATAAATACAATAACAAAGATTAGAAATTTATCGATTATCATTTATCGTATCTATGTATTTATGCTTTGTAGGTAGAGTGTCAGCAATTTTCATAGGAATTCTGACGCTCGTGATCGGAATTATTTTAAGCAGTATACCTTGGGTGGATTACATTATATTAAAGGTACGTAAAATAATTTAAAATAATTTAGTTTTTGTAAAAGATTCTCTTAGAATTATTCTTATTATTTATTCTTGATTCCAAGTAATAGTTAACCAAATAGGAATTATTTTTAAAATTTGAATTTTCATAAATCCAATTATGTTTATATTAATATTTTTATATGTAAATATGAATATTACACATATTAACATATTGAATATATTTATTATATAAAACTGTTTTACTGGCAGCTATTTACCAAATCTAATTATATTCCATTGATTAACTGGAATTAACAATAACATAAGCATTTTTAGCATTATTTAATTAAATGCACAGTTTAGTATTTCATTAATATTTACATTGATAATAAACTGGGATTATTATTAATATGTTTTATTCATATAACGATAATGTCAGAGCTTAAAATCTGAATCATTCAATATATTCTTCGATGATATTAAATTTCAAATTTATTTTAAATAATTATTTAATAACACTGTATAATAAGCAATATTTTTTGATGTTACGATATTTCTTTGAAAATGACTCTTCAATTATTATTATTATTATTTTTTTCTTTCCTCATTTGATAATATAACTTAATTTATAAAATCACATTAATTCTTCATCATTAATTTCTTGTTTTACAATACAATGAGCAAAAATATCATTATATTAGTTATCGATATTGTTATATAAGCATCATTGATAAATAAAATAAACTTGATCAATCGTGGAAACGATGACGATCTTCCTCGAATTAATTTCTAATCTCTAATAATTTAATTGGAGTGAATATATTAACAAATTAAATTAACAAAAATCGAAAATTATTTTTACTCTTGCTATCCTATGATGTCAATATTCGATCATAAACGAGATAAATTTTTGAAACCAAGATTATTCTTCTTTTTCGTTTAATCATCAAAATTTACTTTCGTTTTTATCATTTCCTGTAAATGGTTAACAATTATATATGGAGGCACGTTCTCGTGTTCCAAATTACCAAACATTCTTTTTATTCAATCGTTCTACGTGCTTTATAATAAGTTTATATTCGCAAAATATAAATAAGATAATATAAATAATATAATGTATATAAGATATATATATTATATATAATATATAATAATATAATATATAAAATAATATAAATATATATATAAGAAAAATGCAATTCTTTATTTTTCTTATATAATATTTTTCTCTTCAGCAACTTCGATTGTGGAATGGGTCTCTTTCCTTTCAATACTGGCAGAAACCAGGAGTAGTTAGATTGACCAAAGTTTACATATTTAATGTGACCAACGTAGAAAACTTTTTGCAATACAACGAAAAGCCAAAATTACAAGAAATTGGCCCGTTCGTGTATAAGTGAGTATCGTTTCATCCCCAACATAGGGGCATAAATTATTACATATCTTTTAATTTCGTAACATATCTTTTAATTCGTGTAACACAGAGAGGATATGGAAAAAGTGAATATCGTTTTCCATAACAATGGTACCGTAACTTATCAACACAAGAAAATATTAAACTTTGTACCAGAGTTGTCGAAGGATAAAGATCTCAAAGTAATAGTGCCAAACATTCCGCTATTGGTAAGTTTTTATTTTTCTCGATTTTCACGAAAAAGATCGTGGATCGCACGAAATAAATTCGCGAAGAGAATCTTTTTAACCTTATTATATTTTTCAGACATTGTCGACGCAAAGCAAGAGTCTACCTCGATTTATCACTTTAGGATTATCTATGTTTTTGAGCGGAATGCACATGAAATCGTTCGTTCCAGTAACCGCTCAAGAACTCGTTTTTGGATACGACGATCCATTAGTCAGCATCGCCCATCGATTCTTTCCAAAAACGAGACGTCCCATGAGTCAAATGGGACTTCTTCTCGGGGTAATATACGGAAAAAATAAATAAATAGATGGATAAAAATTATTACTGTTAGGTTTAGAAAAATTTGTAAACAATAATTAACGTCATTCTTTATGACACACACAAGTGTTGACGTATTTAATTGCAGAGGAATGGCACGTTGGAGGAAGTGTCTACTATCTTTACGGGGCACACGGATATGAGGGAGTTTGGATTAATAAATCGTTTGAATGGGATGGATCGTCTACCGTATTGGCCAACCGCGCCTTGCAATTCTATTCGCGCTTCAGAGGGTGGATACAATTGGATTAAATATCTTTTACTCAATTCAATAAAAGAAATATTATTACAGGATATCTTTATCCTGTCGTAGGATCCTTTTTCCCACCCCGTGAGAAAACTGGCGCCGACATCGTGCACATTTGGGACAAAGATCTTTGTCGAACCTTGCCTTTAAAATATCACGGCTCAACCGAGAAATCAGGGATCAAAGCGGATTTATATGTACCCCCTGACGCCGTGTTTGGACGGCCAAACGAAAGCGCTCCAGAAAACGAATGTTTTTGTCCGGATGACATGTCCACGTGTCCTTCGAACGGATTGCAAAATATCAGCCCTTGCCAGTATAGTAAGTAGTAACCCCATAAATTATTCGATTTTATTTTTTTTAACAATTTTCAGAGAAGAAAAATGAAACTTATCCTTTTAATTTCAACAGGCGCACCGGTTTATCTTTCCTTCCCTCATTTCTACAAAGCGGATCCTAATTTATTGGATGCGGTCGAGGGATTAAATCCAAGGCGAGAAATACACGAAACTTATTTTAAAATTCAACCAGTGAGTGTTATTTCAAATAACAATAAAAATGGAGATAATAAATATATTGTGTGTTTGTATGATGGATGAATCATTTGAAATTCGTTTGTTTGACACAGAAAATTGGTGTGCCTTTAGAGGGGAAGGTCCGGGTACAATTGAACTTAAAGATCGAACACCAACCGTTGATCAGTGTTGTGTCGAATTTTCCCGACATCGTGTTTCCTATCATGTGGCTGGAGGAAGGTATCGAAGAGCTGACACCCTCTATACGTAGATGGGTTTATTTTGCAACAACATTTAGCGATGTTGCTGCGCCTTGTACCTCGTATGGATTAATTCTAGTCGGTATAGTAATCATATTCGTCGTGTTCATGAAGGCTTACAACAACGTGGTGCTCACGCACGAAGCGATCGAATTAGGCAAACGTACCATAAGAAGAGGTTCCACGTTGTTAATGAATGGACAGCACAAATTATTAATGACTCGAGAACAGTATGTTTTGCTCACAGATAAGGAGGATAATGACGAGAAATCAGGGATAATAGAGATCTAGTTAGTTATAGATTTTTTTCCTTCTTTCTTTTTTTTTTTTTTTTTTTCTTTTTCCTTAAATAGATGTATATTACGAAGTCATCTAAGAATCGTTTTGTAATGTAGGATTTGTAATCGTTTGATACTATAGACCAAAGCTTTTGTTCTAATTACCTGAAGAAAATATCGATATAGATGTATACATATATATATATATATATATCGATTCCAATAGAGTTTGGCAAATATTCACCGATTACCTGTATGTTTCTTTTTTTTTTTTTTTTTTTTCTTTTTCCTTAAATAGATGTATATTACGAAGTCATCTAAGAATCGTTTTGTAATGTAGGATTTGTAATCGTTTGATACTATAGACCAAAGCTTTTGTTCTAATTACCTGAAGAAAATATCGATATAGATGTATACATATATATATATATATATATCGATTCCAATAGAGTTTGGCAAATATTCACCGATTACCTGTATGTTTCTTTTTTTTTTTTTTTTGTTTTGTTTTCTTTGTTTTCTTGTCTACATCTGTGATTTCATCTGTTTTATTTATAATGATGTGTACGAAACAGATCGTGCTTGGACGAACGAAAATGGATAACGAAAGAACAAAAGAACGAAATATGTGAAGAAGCAAGTGAATAAATTTATTTTGATTAGTATTCGATATGAATTATATTGGGAATATAATGGGTTATATGGGAATTTGTTGTAACTTGGTTCACGCACGATCAAAATTCGGTGCAATATTACAAGTATTGTATCTTAGATATTAATTACCAAAACTCAGAGGGAGCATTAGTTAGAATAAGATCTTTAATTTTTATCTTTTAGGATTTTAATATTTCTAAAAATAAAACTAAGAAAAGTTTGTAAAAATTTTAAAAATCTATTCGTTAGTTCGAATGAGTAAAATAATGTGTGAAAAGCATATAATAATATACGTAATGCGTTACATTTTATAACTTGTGACTAATAAAATTTATATACTCATAAAATATAATTTTATAAAATTTTAAATATACTTGAAAGCTATTTAAATAATGATCAAAATTTCTATAATTTTAATTGTTTCTAACGAAATGAAATTATATATCTTTTATTGTATTTTTAAACTATTGTAAATTATTGTTATTGTCAATAAAATTTATCATAAATTGGTATTATACTACATATATATTTTGTAATTTATGATACCTGAAATGTAATTACGAAGTATTTAAAATCTATAATTGAAAATTTATATATCAATTATACACACAACTCATACACTCATGTTAGTAAAATAATTTTACTATTTTTTTTAAGATAAATTTAACAAGAATCTTTTAAATAAAATTTTATTTATAGCATTGAAGAAATATGATTAACTCATCTAGACAATTATTTATCGTAACTTAAATTTAAAAAATTCGCATTATACAAAAAACATTAATAAAGTTATATACGATTGCATTCAGAATATTATTGAATGTGTAATTAATTGTAAATTAAATGATTTTTTTTTATAAAAAAAAATTATGCTTTAAAATATGCTTGACTTGAGCAGAAGTACATATTTGGACATAGCACTATATAACAGTATCACATTTTAGATAAAGCCCAGCAATTTATAATAACGCAAAAATAATGATATATTTACATTTTTTAATAGACAATATGTCTTCGATAAATTTTACTATTTTTTTTTCTATGTTATGAGCTATACATTACAAAAAAAAAATGTGAAATTTAAATTATGTTAAAGTTTCTATGAGAATATAAATAATACTAAAATCATTTAAAAATTATTGTACTAAATTAGATCAGTTTCAATAGTTAAATATCCTACTGGTGTTATTTTTAATACATTAGTTGAGAATATTAGCACGAGAAATAATATGAATTTTTGAAAATTAATTCTGAAACTAAAATATAAATATTTTAAAAAATTCGAAATAATAAAATATTATATTACAATTTATCTGATGCATGTTATAATTTATCCGATACTGTCAAATTTCTTCTAATTATTTTCTTGCAATATATCGATTTAAATCGTGCTTCACAGCATTTATTATTTACATGCACAGATATGTTGTACACATCCTTAATAATCTAATGAGATAAAGTTTTTCGGTAAAGATATATTACTTCTATTGGACATGTGGAATTTATAGCCATTCGAATGCACAGCAATTGCTCATAAACAAACTACTAATATCTTGCTCTTGCTGTTTAATAATTTTATACAGAACAAAGGTGTTTTAATTAAGAATACACCTATAAATTATAGTTAGTAGAATACACTTTTTTTTTCATTTCTGTTACGATCTTTTTCTATGATTATTCGTATTTTTAATTCATTTGATTTTTATATTTTAAAGTATTCAAGCCGACTTTAGCGATAATTTTAAAAAGAAATTATACCTTTATCTGAGAGGGCATGTCGTTAGAAGCGGAGGTATGGAAGTTAAAGAAGTAGGCTCTCTTAAATTAAGTTTATGCAGTTCTTCGTCGGCTTTGTTGTGTTTCAACTCTTGCTGAGTGTACAAAAATTTATTCCATTCATCAATTCTAGGATGTGCCAAATGCTATGTTAAAAAAAATGTAAATATTCAATATTACTCATTATTATTCATTATTCATTATTCAAATATTATTAAATTAAAATAAATAAAGATCAATACAAGCTGATCTTACCTCAGCAACATCGTACACCCAAATCTTTCCAGAATCATCGCCAACAGTTACGTGTAAACCACTCGGTGTCCATGAAACTCTGTTAAGAGCCGGACATCCATTAATAACAATACTAGCCGTAGGTACTTCAGTATCTTGATTAAGATTCCACAAGTCTAATCGTCCTGAGTCATCTACAGCAGCGAATAGAGCCGGATGAGTAGGCGACCACGCAACGTCATAAACGTAATCGCCATTATGTTCGAAAGAGTATAAAGGTTTGCTTTCTTTAAGGCTCCACAGTTTGATCGTCCAATCGATAGACGATGTTAAGAATAGATGCGAGAAATCTATTCCACCTTGTACAGCATGTGCGCTAATTCCTGTAACTGGTCCTTGATGACCTTCGTAAGTCTCCAATACACCTGCTTTTGTACCGTGGCGACAAGCTAATAAGGAAATAATTTCCATTAAGACGGATACATCATGTATGTAAAAAAGATGTTTAATTTGATTAAAAAAACTTGTTTACCAGAGTATACGGTTCCTTCTTCACTACCTACAACGAAATTGTTAACATCACCATGAGGGAATGCTAAACAAGTGGCAGCAATTGCTTTCGACTGTTTAGTGTGAAGATCTAATGTTTCTTGCGGTTGTGACAACATGTCTAAACTCCAGGAACACAATTTTCCATCGGTCGATATACTTATTAAATTGTGCGCGTTTTGTGCCCCAACAACGTTTAAACAGTACACAGGGTGCTAGAGAAATGTTATTCTTAATGTTACATAATAATAACATGTACTTGTGTTGAAAAATTGTCGAATAACTTACGGTATGTGCGCTTGCCGATAATGGAGTACGTTGAATAGGAGTTCTCTTTTGCACTCTGTTATCCCAGAGTACGATCTGTCCGGAATAAGTACCCCCTAAGATTAAATTAGGATGAAATCTTGCAAAGGTGGTCGACATGACTGGAGATTGACAATGAAAAATGAACTCTGGCGTCGTTTTCTTGAACTTTGTGTTCCAAACCAAACACACCCCGTCGGGATCGTTCGGAGTGTCATCGTTATTGTTATAGGAGGCTGCGAGGAGTTCTGGAAACTGGGGCGACCAGTCCATAGAGGTCACGCATCGATTGCGGGACCATCGATCGCAGAAGAACCATCGATTCAACCACAAACGTTGATGATTCTTTTCATCCCTACGAAACGAGTAATATCGAATATCGATCACGAGAATAATCAAGCATTATATTTATCTTATACTCACATCCCGTCTTCGCCATCCATAGTACCGGTATAATCGCTATAAATATTAACCGATTCTCCTAACGCTCTTTCCACGATTCTACTAGTACGATCGAGGAATCGTTGGAAATCTTCGGAGAGTATAATCATTTGTTTCTCCTCCTCGCTCAGTTCCTGTACTGTGGATTGAAATTTGTAAATAATAATAATTGCGACTATTAAGGATTAATATAATAATTTTAAACGTAGAAAAATTACCTTCTTTAGGTTTTTCCTTTTCCTTCTCTTGCTCCACTTGTGTAACCGCTGGCTGCACTTCCTTAACTTGTGGCAAACCATGGGGAAGAATTCCGGGTGGAAGCTTGCTTTGGAAACCATCCATATGCGGCAAACTGTTCTCTTCGTCTTCGGCTTGGCCATCATCAAATGTCAAAACTGTGGTGAATAAGCTGGTTCCGCCACGAATACCCTAATTTCGATATATCTATCTACCTCTGGCAAAACTGCCCTACTTTTTTAAGATTCGAGTGCGCTACGTTTAAGAAAAAAAGAGAGAAAGAAAGAGAGAGAGAGAAAAAAAAAAAAGGAAAAAAGAAAATAACTATAACTATAATCTCGTAAACACTACGTATTCTTTTTATTGGTACCTCCTACGAGACATTCTATGTAAAATAAATAATTGCAAAGACCTATTGCGTAAAAATATGCACGAAACAATAAGAAAAGAATAAAAAGAGAGCGAAAACGCGATGCATGCACATATTTGTGCAAATTTGTGTAAATCTTTGGTTAATTTAGAATATATTAGCGTATAATCGTGTAATATTGTAATAATATCGTAAAAGATAAAATAAAAACTTTTTGCCAAATGAACAAATTTGAAAGCGTAAAATTGAAGGGATGCAACTCTCTTTCTTACAAAAGCTTTTTTG